GGCAGACCCACAAGAAGCATAGATCTCCTTTGGCTCTTCATGACTTGCTCTTTGCATGTGTTTAATAAACTGTGAAGGATAATAAACAGTTTGATTTATAAGTTTTGTGAAGAAAAGGGATGACAATTTCTTTTAATGAGTAGTTTTTTTCCAAAACAAGGCTTAGCAAAATAGCAGAAGAGTGTAGTAACTTCATCTAATTCCTTGACAAAATGACAGCTGTTTCTCTGAGTAGAATAATTATTTTTAGTGACTCAGTAAAATAATTAACACAAGCTGTTGGGTGTGGAGGCTTGGTCAAGAAATTGGTAGATACCTTCACCTGAAGGAGGCCTCTAGTCTGACCCTGTGCCCAAAGGAGAGCAGGCTGCATGGAGATTTTTGCATTTGTGTCTTGAAAATGAAGCCCTAAGGACAGAACCTGTGCCACCTCTCTGGGTAGCCTGTGCCATCCACTGCTTGGTTGATTCACTTGTGTTGGAATTCTCTAGGCTTAATAGACATCCTTAGTCATAAATACTCTGAATGATGTCATTTTGACACCTTCCAAAATAGGTATGCAATAACCAGAAGTTGAAAAAATTGTGTTTGGGTTTAATAAATAAAAATTTAATTGACAGATGTCCACGTGTATGTTTATATATGTATGCATACACATTAAACTCATTAAAATGCCTTATGTATCAAGATAATGTATGCAAATATATTTAACCCCTGAACATACTTGCATATATAATGTATTACATTTAAAATTACTATATGTATACATCTGTATCTTATTAGTCCATAGAGTGTATTATCCCAGCAGACATTTATATACCTCCTTATGGCAATGAAGAGATGAAGACTACTGCTGATAAAAATGTGACTGGATTTATATATTGTAATACGTTCATTGATGTGGTTAGGTGAGATGTCTGGTGTGATTTTAACAAATAAGTTTAGAGCTGTGTTTTACTGGATTTAAATTCTGGGGATTTAAAAAAATTCCTGTGGTATAAGAAGGTTAAAAGTAGAGCAAATTGAAAAAATACTGAACAAAGACCTTTATGTAAGCTTGGCTAGCTCTTAGAACATGCTCCAGTAATGAGAGTTTACAACAGTTGCTGCCAGGCTGAGGAATGGTAGGAGCAATGTTGACAGCAGGCTTGAGCCTGGAATAATTTGGAGTCAAAGGACTATTAAGATAAGTTAAACTTTCACTCAGACCTCTTTTTTGTTTAAAGCTGAATGCAGTCTGATGAGTCCTCATTCTCACAACCTGATCTGGAGTCTGCCTGCCTTCCCTTAACTCTCCTTCAACCTGTAGCTGAGGTTTTGAAAAAATATTTTCCCTCCTCTTTGGAGATACCTGCCAGCTGAGAATATCAGCTGGTAATGGCTGTATGGCTTCGAGTCTTAAGCCCTAAATAAGTCACTTTTCTGCCCTTGATTGTAATGTGATCTTGGTTCTGAAATCTAGGGGCTTTTTCTTCATTTGGACCAAAAAAACGTTAGAAAGCTACCTGATTATTAAATCTTGATGTAGATTCCAAAGCTCTCCAGATGCCTTCAGTCGCCAAAAATATTTATTTTTTCAATGTGAGAATTTACTCATAGAACAAAATAGAAACAAAATAGATGTGGAAAATGACCACATTCAAGAAGATCAATTTGAATTACAGCAAATTAGTATGTTTGCATATGTATACAAATATGCACACATACATACATACATATATATATATATGAATCCCACACCTCAAGCTCCTTGCTGTATGGAGGATACAGGACTGTTTTGATTCTGCCCTTTTTAGTAGAACAATGTTTCAAGTCATTACAAACCAAAAATTTCGCATAATGGAAATTAGGGTAAGGGGCAGTACACTCTGGGGTTGTAATCAGTGCAGTAGCTCGCAGAACATGCTTTCCAGGTGAGAAGCACACCTTGGAGTGTGAAAGTAAAGATGTTCAAGTAAGTGATGTTTTTTAGAAGGGTGGAAAACCTTACACCAGCTACTGACAGTAAGGACATCACTGTTCCATGGTTGCGTGCTGCAGGTTTCTTGCCCAGCATTGATTCATAGAAAGAAGAGCAGTAGGTGTGGATGTTGCTGGTTTCTTTACTGGAGCTCCCAGTGTAACAACTTTGTCAGAGTGCTCTGACTTCTTCATCTGGGGAGCATGACTTCTGGCTTTGTTTTCTTGATAGTCCTCCCAGCAAGTTCAGGAGGACTTAATCCTCTCACAGGGATTGAATATTAAAGGGTAAGTAAGTATAGATTGAAGCTTTCCAAAAGAAGTAACGCTTCTGGCCAAGTGCTGGCATTCCGTGGACCATGGGACAGCCAGGCTTTAAACAGAGGAGCACATGACCCAGGGTGCTTTGTGGTTTTGCAGTCTAGCTGCTCTTTCCAGACAGCAGTTAACCACTGGTTGGCAACTGAGCTCACTCAGGAGCTGGCTGCAAAGAGCTGCTTCTCCAACAGCCACCACTTGTTACGCGCTCTGTGACCCCTCTCTAGGATGGTTTTACAATCTTGTGCTGTGCTGAAAGGAATGAGCTATATGTTTTTGGTAGGTGGTCGTCTTTTGGCAAACATTTCAGATACCTGAGTTGGAAACTGACCACAAGCAGTTGGGCTATCCCATCTAAAAGAGCAGGCAGCTTTTCTGGGAAGAGAGCAACCTCCAAAACCACATTTACTGAAATTTGTGCAGTAACATTTAATTAAGGTGTTGGCTCCTTTTCTTCCCTCTTGTGACTTGCAGCAGGACATGAAAGTCTTTTCATATATCACCCCTTGAGTGTCTGGTTGTTAAAACCTAGTGTCTAAGTCATTGCAAAAAGTCAGAAATCTCCATGGAAGTGCATTCAGGTTGACTCCACTCAGTTCCCACTGACCTGTTTGGAGCTAATCCAGATAGGAATTGTCTGTTCTTCATCTGGTCTCATATTTCCCCAGAGGAGAGCTTGCCTACTCAAGCCCAGCAGGTAACATGACAGGAATGGGACAACTGGTTGTGCCTATCCTATGTTCCTATCAGAGCAGGCTATCACAGTGATCCAGTGTGACAATTTGTGAGAGTTACAAAATCTGTTTGGAATTATAATTAATCAAAGAAAGCACATGTTTAATACATGTGCAAGATGGGAGGAGGTTGGGAAATTCCCTGTATTTTGTGTATTAATACTGGACTTAGAGGTTTCTGAGACTATGAAACAGAAGTTTACATGTATACAGCTTAAATTTAAGTAATACAGTTAATTAATTCTACTAGAGTTGAGGTATACCATTAACTTGTGGTGAAAGTGAAAATGGCAACCTCATCTACCTCCAACTAGAATTAGTGTCCAATGGACATAAACATTAAAAAACATAGAGATGGGGGAGGATTCTGGAGTTGTTTCCAATCTCCTTGTCACATTATCACATTGTCTTTGTGCCTGCAGCAAACCTTCTCTTACCTTATCAGCACAATTTTTAAGTAGAGATTGCTCATTCTGAAGATTTAACCCTGTAAAATTGATTTGTGTCTAAATCATGGTCACTGGAAAGGGGTGAAATTTTTCCCTTGGTCAGATCCCATAATACAGTTTTGTGACAAATGACTAATGGATAACTCTCTTGTCTATGCTTAGTTATGCAAATTTATTTGTTGCTTCAGTTTTAGATCTGAAATGTAGAGTCCTGAACTGATAGAATTATTGCATTCTGCTTTCTCATCATTCAAATGTAGCTACAAGCTATTTGATCTCTATGCCTTACCTGTAAAACAAGGGTCTGTAGGTAGATTTTTTTCAAAGTATTGCTGCTAAAGATTTAATTTCATAGTAGTTAGTTTTTAAAGCTTCTCATGAACTAAGTCATGGCTTCTAATTAGTTTTTTCCCCCTTGGAAAAACATTTCTTTAGTATACATCCGATATAATGTGTACATATTTGTTTATACAAACAGTGGAAAATACGAGATTATTTGGGGAAGGTAAACTGTGGAAGGAAAGAAAATGCAATGCAATAGAAAGAGCCTTCATTATTTTGGGTGTTTTCTTTTGTTTTTCTTTAAAGGCGTTGTAAATTTAAATGTACTGAATGTTGATTGATTGTTGTCTAATTGCTTAATACTTCCTGTATGGAAATGTATGGGGTTTGTTCATGAATGGTATTAGTGGGCATCTAGACCTGTCTCATGCTTTAAGCTGTTGGGTTGTTTTGAAGTTTGTTTTCTACTCGTTTGCAGCTCTGTTAATGTGTGCCTTGTCTGTCCTTTGCCCAGTTTTCTTAATTACGAAGTAGAATAAAATTGCTTTTAATGGCTCATTTTGCAGCATCCTAATTTCATTGTTTTCTTTTGCCAGTTCTGTCCTCAGTTCCATTATGTCTTAAAAGGATGATGATGCTGAAGTTGTTTAAGAACAAGCTTTTTAAAGCAAGAATTTCGGAACTCCAAATTGTCTTTCTTTCAGTGTTGCTTTTCTCATAGTACTTGATTGCCAGCAATTTGCAGATGACAATTTGTCTATAATCCCAACATCCAGATTCATCATGAGAATGTCAGCTTTATGTCATTTTAAAAAAAGACAAACCAAAATGAATCAAAAAAACTCCCCCAAATTAAAATTTAGTATTTAAATTTTATGCAGAAGGGTAAGGAGGGGAATTGGAAAGCCTGAAAGACTGAATAAGAGGCCCAGAAACACAAACATATGAGTGAGAGAATTGTGAAGTCTTCTGAAGAGACCTAAACATTAGCAGTTTGTTTCACTTTTGTTTAGATTCCTTTCTACTTTGACATTGTCTTCTTTTATTCTCATAGTGGTAATATAAGCTGTCAGGATTTTTTTTCCTTTTTCCTGCCAGCCATAGTGTCTGAAAAACTAGGTTCTCCTTTTCCATGTGCAGAGTGTTCTTCCTAGTCGTGGTCACATCTCTGAGCTGTGGAGGTGGAGTGACTCACCTTTCTCTGACAGCCTCCTGCTGGAATCCAGGCTGAAGCAGTATTTTTGACAAAAGTTAGCACTTGCCTGCATGGATTTTATTTGGTGAATGGCCAAGATGAGATTGGTGGGTGGGAGAGAGGCAGATGCTGTTCCTGCTGTGCCATGAAGGAAGGAGGATTGCTGGCTCTCCTTGGCTGTCTTCTTAACATACCTGATCCAGTTCAGGAGGTGTTCATTTGGTCAGAGGAACTGATGCTTTTCTGAAGCAACAAAATCCAGTGGATAGCTGAGCCTCGAGAGAAAAGTGTAATTGCAGATGAATAGCAGGGTAAAATTAAATCAGAACATTTTACTTAGAAACCAGTCTAGACTATTTCTGAAAACATAGTCAAGTGAGACTTTGGCTTTGTCAAACACCTTTAAATTAATTCATAGCTGTCTTGGGATGATTTTATGATGACACTTTATTCCTTAATGATCTGCTTTATGCCCAGAAATGTCTGCGGCATCTTTAAGATGAACCAGGGGGCGGGGCCGGAGCCTAGGAACACCAGGCACAGGCTCTGTTCAGTCTTTCTCCAGCGTGCTCCAGACACAGTGTGGGGGCTGTACTGGGAAATCCTCTCAGCGTGGTGGGGTTTTTTTGTTTTTTGGGGGTGTTTTTTTTTGTTTTTGGTTTTTTTTAATTTTTTTTTTTGGAGGGGGGGGTTGGTTGTTTGCTTCGTTTTGTTTTTTTTTGTCCTTGAACAGTTTTCAGCTTGCCTTGTTTTTCTTTCCGGCCCCTCTGGGGAGCCGGTGGGGGGACTGCCCCAAACCCAAGACCTCTGAGGAACTGAATGAACACAAGAAAGGACATTCAACTCCACCAACTTCGCCTGCTGCAAGGAGAAAACCCATGCAAGAAATCCGACAGGTTCCCAGCTGCTGCATGAACTCCCTTCTCCTCCCTTGTCAGAGATGAAGAAGGGCAGCCACCACCTCCTGGCCATGTGGCGAGGTGGGGGTGGAGTGTAAGGTTCAAATTTTTTTTTTCCTGTGCTTTGTGGGTATCTTGCTTTGTTAATTAACGGTGTTACTGTTTTTTCACTTTCGTCCCTTGGTATCCATTTCTCTCATTGTCGGAAGAAAAGGGAGTTATTGAAGTCATTTCTCCTTAGAGGAAATGCTCATTCCAGCTCATTCTCCAAAATGGAGACAATACCTATAATACAAATGCTAAACTGTTTACAGAACTGCCATGGGTAATAGCAAAAATACTGAAGGTCAAGGCTCAGGCTGTAAAAATTTAGACTGGCATAGGTTGCTTGTCTCATCTGAAGCATCCTCTTTGATTTGAGTGACACTGGACATGCTTGAATATCAGTGCAAGCATAAATGTTCATTATGTGTTTTAAGGAAATTGTATCTCTTAACTGATAAGAGGAAAAAAGTTTCAATCCGTCAATTGACAGAAAACTTCAAAGTAACAAAAAACTGTTATTTACTTCTTTTACAAGCAGGGAGAGAAGATATGACATATAGTGCTGTTTACTTGTGAGCCTCAACAGTAATCAATGTGTGGAAAATGAAGTTCACCTTTTTGGTAAAATTTAAAAAGTTTAATGAAAAATCAATTGTGAGACAGAAATAAAGCAAAATGAACATGACTGGGTGCCCCTCAGCATTCAGCCAAGAACACTGCCTTACTAACAAAGGATTGTCCCTTAAAAATGCCAATCTCTTGCATATTCATAGATTGTTATGCATAATTCAAACATTCCTCTTAAATTTAGATGTTCCTCTGTTTAGTTTCAACTCCCCCACCCCAGCAGATCAATCTTTCTTATGGCTCCTTGCAGTCTCACACTCCTCCATAACAGAGGTTCAGTAAATTCCTCTCTTGGACCTCCAGTCACCGCTGTCTTCATCTGGATAAGATAATCTTAAGAGTGCAGGGGCGGTTTCCTGACTCTCTTTTCATTCTCTGGGTTATATGAACAAAAGCAATCTATTTTAATACTATGCTACAGCCTAAGAAATACATATGTATTCCACTACTATCTCTAAGTTTCATCAATAGCAGAAATAAAAGAAACTATATTAATACAGCAAAATTTTCCAACATTTATACATGTAGTATTCATTTTCATATTTGCGAAAAGCCAATAATATAATATGTATCTAATAACAGATGGAAACCTTGAGTTTTCTGTTGTTGCTGTAAAACTGGTGTTTGCACACTGACTCTGATAATCAGTCAAGTGATTGCCTCCTTTTTAAGAGGGATTTTGGGGCCTGGAGCCTATTTTGAGAGTAGGCCATCCTCTCTGAGAAGGGCGTAGGGAAGAGGAATCTGGGGCAGCAGTTGGTGTCTGATGGATAGAAGTCATTTAAAAACAAAAAAATGAATTCCAACTCTGAATGTAAAACCAGGTAAGAAGAATAATCTAATATATCAAAATGAAGACTGAAAAGTGCCTTATTTGCCTCCTCAAAGAATAAATACCAGTCAAGGAAAGGCATGCCAAATATCCTGTCTTGGAAGGCTTTGCAGATGGGAGACTGGGGACATGTTTCTGGCTGTACAGCCTTGGGGCAATCTGAGAAAATAGATTTTTTTTTTTTTTTCCCTTCAGATATGAGGACTGCAGAACTAATTTTCTGAGGAGATAAAAGATGGCTTCATCGTTGCAAACAGGAGAGATAGAATAGAAATGACCTGTAATGTGGAAGAAGTTAGGTCAGATTTTTCTGTTCTAATTGTGGGATTTGAATTCTGCTTGCATCTGGTACTCCCAAGACTCCCAACGCTTTAACCACATACCCTGAGGGGAATACAGTGGTGTCTGGTCATACCATATTTGGTAGACAATAAGACTGGTTGCAAATACAGCATAAATTATTTTGTTGTTGATTTCAGGATACGAGATTTGGTGCTGTCAAAACATAATTAAGCCTTAAACTTGATTTTAATTCTTTTTTAAGCCTGTTGTGAACCAAGTGTTTTCTTTGAAAAACTGGTTATTGTAGTTTGGGATTTCACAGAAAAAAATGCAGTAATATTTACAGAACTAATAAAGGAGACAGTTGGAAAGTGTTTCTTCTTGGTGTTAAATTTTGATAAAAAATAAATGATAATTTTTTTTTGAACCCTTTCAAAAATTTTGTTTCAGCAGGACTGGTAAAAAACTAAAGATCCTGGATGCTGTTGGATAGTGCTGAGCAAGTTTGCATTGTGTCTGTTTCTGGTTGTCTTTGCTCCATGCATTCAGCCCTGCTCCTTGGCTCTTCAAAACAGTAGTTTTCCAGAAGAAACAGTTTGTAAGAGATTGGTTCATGTCAACAGATAAGGAGTACTTAATGCATTTTCATATCTTCTCATTTTTAGATGACTGAGTCTGCAGAGAAAAAAACCCTTGTGAGGAAGATCACTAAATAACATGGTTAGGAGCAATAGCTCTTTGTGTCCCTGTGACAGCTGAGGCTTGTATACAAGGCTACAGGAGCCTTTGAGGAATATTGTGTTTAAGTTGGAGCACAGGCTTTGTTTATCCCTTACTTATTGCTTTTTAATTCCAGAGACTAGTTCCAGATAAATCTGCAAGTTAAATTTTGGTATAATACCATTGCCTTGGCTGCCATCAGTTTTCTCTAGAACTAGGCTTCTGACAAGGTATGAGCTTGTCCAGGGGCTGAAAGAAAACTGAAGTAATTGTGGGTGTCAACACCACTCCATCAGAGTATCATTTGTTTTCTTTGTATTATGCTTGTCCAGAGTCTTCAAGATTTTCTTTGAATTCTTGCCTTTATTTTGCCCTTTGCAGAAGTGTGGGTGGGAGGACCTTGCAGGAACTCTGTCCCCTTGCCAAATTCTGTGGTTTGGTGCTGCTCCCTGTCTGGGTTAATGGGTTGCCAGGATCCATCACACCAGGTCCAGAGGGGCTTGTGAGTGTCTTGAACACCAATAAAAAATCCTGTTCTCACTGTGCAGTCAGTAAATTCTTATGAATCTTGTGAGATTTGTTTTCGTGTCAGTGTTGTCTTTTTTGATGTTCATCTTCTTTTATCTTGCTCTAACACTTAATTCTTATTTCAGGGGCAACAATACAATATGAGGTTCATTTAGGAAAAAAAAATCAACAACACCCGTCAACACCACTCCCACCCCCACTTCTCACCCTAGTCATCTTACTTTGAGGAGCATTTTATCGCTGGTTTCCTAGCTCTAAGACTGCTTTTGATCATGTCAGCAGCCAAGATGCTGATCTGTCTAAAGGTGATCTTCAGTAGGAAAATGGATGATTTTACTTGCTGCTCTGTGGCAGGTGTTGTAAGAACCAGACTTGAATAGCTTTCCTGAGTTGAGGGAAAAGGCAATAGACAACCTACTGAGTGTTTTTGGAAAGCTAGTGGTTCCCTTGTCAGAATCAAGGGGAAGAATAGAGAGAAAGCCTTACAATTGCAAATTAATCTTTACATGGTTTAGCATGTCCTAGTTAAAACCCCTATAGATTTTGGTAATGTACACATTGTAGATTCATCCTTTGGCTTTATTTTGATGAACAGTATTTGTCATATGATACCAAGTTTTCTTCCTAAGCCAGGTGGTACAGAAATCTGGAACTGATGTGGGTTTTTTTGAGTCAAAGTATTCAGAAAAGAAAGGGGGAGTATGTTGAGTCAACTGTTCCCATGACTTCAATTACATATGATAAAAAGCATATAAAAATTCCACTGGAAAATGTCTCAACATTTTCAGACCTATGCAGCCAAATCACTTAATGGCATCTAAACTGGTATGGTGTCAAAAACATGGGCTTTGAATTTAGTGTGGCATGTCCCCATTGTTGTTCTGCTTGTGCTTTGAAAGGTGAAAGCGCACCTGGGGTAAGAAGGGCATGCAGGCAGTAGTGGCCTGCCCTCCTACTTCAGGGATGTGGCCCCTGAAGCCTATAGGAGAGGCTGTGCTATGTATGAATTTTACCTTTTCCTGTATGAAAGTGGGGAGGTCACAGCTTCCTTTAAAATAATGTCTGTTGTTTCTGTGTTATTTAAGAGACTATTTAAATTGTAGGTGGGGAGGAGGTGGGTGTTACTAATTGCATATGGGGAATTCTGACTACACAGGTATGTCTTTCAGAGAAGGTTTCGTTTTAGTAAGTGAGTATCAAGGCCAGAAGATTAAGACAATGTAGAAGTGAAATAGGAGTTAAACTAAGGAGAGTTAAACTAAAATTACGCATATATTTTTAAACATAATTGTATAGATTTGTGCTGTTTGTTTTAGTCTGCTTAGGAACTTTCTCTTCTCTCTGTTATTTATTGTCTCAGACCTCTAGTGATGCTTAGTTTCTTGAATAAAAAAACAACAACTGTGAAATTTTGATGGGCTCTTTTTCTGGCTGGGTTTGTTTGGTTTGTTTTTTGGAGTGGTTTTGTGTGTATATTTCTGTTTTTACTTTTAGAGAACCCTTGGGTAGATCCCTCTTCAGTATACTTTAAAAGTATTCTTGGAACTCCCCATACTGAGTCTCCCATTTTTTGGTGCCCAGAATAGTGACTGTTGGTCTTTTTGCCTTTGGTTTCAGGGTGCAAGATTAGATTCTCTTATAAGGAACAATAATGGGCAAATGGCTTGTAAAGCAACAGTTGACAAGTTAATGGTAAGGGTTTCATAAAGCTTTAAAGAAAACTCACAAGCAGCCAAGAAATGGAAAGGATGTAATGGCTCTGCTTTCAAAAACAGCATACTGGTTATGAATTTGTGTTTGCAGAACCATGTCAGTCATGCAGTTCTGCGGCTTGTGTTGTTTTGATTAGGTACTCAGAAATGCTTATCATAGTTGCTGGATCACTGGCACTCACAACACACAGCTGGGATTTTTTAGGAAAGTAGTCTCTTAGAGCATACCGCAGCAGTGTTGGAAAAATCAAATTTTGTTTAGACATAGCTAAAAATGCAGTGTTAACAAAAGAGAGATTGTCATTTAGAATAAGAGTGCTTCATCTCAGTGTCCCCTCAATTTTCAGTAAACTTTTTAGTTCTGTAGTTGGTTTCCATGCTAATGCATATTATGACTTCTGTGAAGAAACATTTGGTATACGCACAGATTTATTTTTAATATTTAATATTAATATTTAATAATATATAAAATTTATTTTTAATAAAAAAGTATTTTGTGTAATGGTGGTAGTTTTTGTTTATTTATTTTTCTGCAGGTAGGTTGTTAGATCCATGCACTACATAAATCCTTAACACCTTCCACTGACACATTCAGTAGTTGGAGTTATCTGCAGAGCTAATTCTGAGTTAGGAAATGGGTTTGGTTGCCTGAAACTGTTAGAAATATGTAGCTCAATTGTACTTGAAGGTATGCATACAGCAAATATTTTACTAATGCTTAGCAGGCACACCCATGTCTCTAGGTGGACTTCTTTCTCTTCCCAGTTAATGATGGGAGGTGATGAGAAAGATGAATTAAAATTGCATGCTTTGCTTGCAGTAATTATCCCTAGGTAAGATGATGCTTCCTAAGTGTCCCCTATTGGCTTTGATGGTGGAAAGTTACAGACTCATATTAAGTCTCATGCTTAGTGTGTCGCCTGCACCATCGCTAATGTGCCCCCCACCTCTGCTTGTTGTTCTCTGCCGCCCTCCTCCAGTCCTCAGCCTTGAAGCTGCAGTGCCAGATACAGGGTTCAGCTGCATGTGATGGTTCTCTTCCAGAAGCACCTCTTCTGAGTCCTCTGCTTGGCTGATGTTTGCGATCCTGTTTCAATTTTTGCTTTGTGATAGCATGTGGGTGTGTTTTACACAGGTTGTTGTTTTCCTTTCTCTGCGTGCAAGCACATGAAGTTCCTACACAGATGATTTTTCTGAGGTGTCAGAAGGAAAAGATTTTCTCTGAATGAAATTTAGCTCTTGAGATGATCTTTTGGAATGGGAAGGAGCAAGTGTGTGCAGATACCCTTGTCTCCTGTGGAAGTCATGGCAGACCAATGAGTATAGGCTCTGAGAAGGCACTACAATTCACCTATGTGATGGAATAGCATTTAAGAAACAAAGGAAAACACCTAAGGAAGTTTAGGCTGCTAAAGGCTGATGGGAGTTTTTTCTCCTGGCCAATAACTGGCCATTTCTGAGAACTGACAGTAGTTTTGACCATTGAAAAGTGAGACCAACCTGTGAACACCACCTTAAGACCTAAGCCCAGGAATTTCTTTGTCTCTCTTTGTTTCTGGCTGTGAAAGGCAGCAGAACTCCAGCTGGCTCTCGTCCCCTGCCCAGGCCATGCAGCCCCAGCAGGGGCTGGGCTGGGCCGGCCGCGGTCCCCGGGCAGGAGATGGGGCCTGGGGGGCTCTTTCCTTAGCCCAGGCCGGGCTGGGCTCTGCTGCAGCTTCCTGGGAAGTTTCCAGGGTGGCTGAAACTTTTCTTGAGACTCCCAGCTCTAAGCGCCGCTGAGCTGAAACCCAGCACCATGAACACCTGTGGCTTGAGCGAGATTTTAACATTTTACTACCCAGATGAGATTTGCAGATTTAGTCCTTTTTCCAGGAAGAAGGCAAGAGAGAGTGATCAGCAGGTAAAGAGACAACATAAACTATCAAAAACAGTGAAGAAAGGAATTAAGCTTCAGAAGGGGGAGAGAAATAAGGAGATGCTTTAATAAGCTGAGATATTTTTCTGTTAAAGCTATGGAGATGGACAATAGTGTTCTGTAAAAAACTCCTTTAATTCATGACAGAGTATTTTGGGGGAAATGGAGTATTTCAAAATATGGATTTAAGCAAATGGTGAAGTAGTTGTGATCCTATGAGATGCTGGAACAGAAAAAGAGAAGTGATAGTTGTTGAAGATTTGTGGCCCTTAAGAGACAAAGAGAAAACTTCTGTTTCCAGAGATGCTCACAGAGACAGATGAAGAGAACTTTTGCCTTTGAATAATCCTTAATTATTCCTTGAATCCTTGAATAATTGCCATCCTTAAAATGACACCAATAGACTCATGACCCATACACACCTCAGAGTGATGTGAAATGGGAGGAGAGAACTGATGGCAGAATTTTTGGGCAGCTGGCATCAGAGAAATAGAAAGCCATGAGAAAAATGGTTTTCTTGTGACAAACTCCATAGATTGGCAGAAGAGAACTTCTTCTCTACAAGGACTGATGAGAAGACTATAGCAAAATTGGGACTGTTTTAACCACCAGGATTTTTTTTTTTGTCTCTATGTTGTCATGTGAACAAGGGAATGCTTGGGTAGTGGGGAAAAAGTGTTTCTGGAGATTTTATTCTGGTTTCTTATTCTTGTAGTTTTGTTAATAAACTTTATTCCTTTTAAGTTTTAAGCCTGTTTTGCTCTTTTTCTAATCCATATCTCACAGCAAGAAATAAGTTTTTCTAGTGATTTTTTAGCAAATGCTTTAAAAGCACAACATTTATTTGGTGTGTTGGTCAGGAAATGAAATTGGCAAATCTAAACTACTATAACCTATTAGCCACATATTTCTGTCAGGTTTGGCCATACTTTTATGAAGTGAGGCACTTGTTTTGAACAGAGTTATGGCTTTGAGAGATATATCCCCCCTCTGTCCTGGAACTGATACCAGTTCTGAATGAGGTCATGCCTCAAATCAGTGGTGATCGGTCTGCCAGCAGGTTTGATAGGTCAGTGGACTATTTCTAATAATTGCCAAAGTAAGTGAGAAAAAACGACCAGCTTGCATAAGCCTAGCCTTTCTGGGCTAGGATGTACATTTTGTACACCTATTTTTAGAGCCTCTTGGAACATGAATTGGAAGCAGTCATGCTGAGCCTTGTTTGGCAGTGGGACATGTTCTACTATCAGTTGATAAACTCTAGTGAAAAGGCCTGTTAAACCTTGAAAGGGGAAAGTATCACAGTGAAGCCTTGAAGGGGAAGATAGCACAGTGAGCATAGAGGATAGAATAGGTTGGTGTTAGGGTGTTGGGAGGATTGGTACAGCACTTTGGTTTCAAGAAACTATTGCAGCCTTACCTGTGTTGAGCTTTGGGCAACCTAATGTAAGGAATATCTAAAGCTGTTGGAGACAATCCAAAGGAGGGCTGTGAAGATGGTGAAGTGTAACATGCTGGGCCTGGATGGTCTGGCCAGGTGTTACCTCAGAGACTCTCAGCATGTGGTCTGCTTAAAGGTAGCTAATAAATGAGGGACAGGCACAATCTAGTGATCCAAAAGGAAAAAACTTCTAATAACAAAACAAACATGTAATCCAAACGACAGTATAGGGTGCAGCAAAAAGGCCAGTGTCCAGGATGTGACAATAACTTATATAAGGTAGGTTAGTGGCAGAGTCAAAGGTAAAGAGACCAATAACAAATAGGGATTAGCAATATGTAAAATACCGTGACAGATATTAACCAATAGTAACAGAGAAACTATAGAACTTTCCAGCAGCATTAACATACCACTTTCCAGGGTGAATTGTGGGTAAGCTTTTGCTCACCCTAACTTGAGAAGGTTCTTCACAGGGCCTGGGGTAAAGTCCCTTGCTGCCCTTTTGCCCTGATGGACTCCAACAGTGAAGGGCCTGGAGAGAAAATCACATGAGGAACAGCTGAGGGGTCTGTTCAGCCTGGAGAAGAACAGACTGAGCAGAGGCCTCACTGCAGTCGACAGCTTCTTCTGGAGGGGAAGACCACTTCTTTATGGTAACCAGTGGCAGGACCTGAGGGAACAGCTGGAGCTTCAAGGGAAATTTAGGTGGGATATTAAGAAAAGGTTTTTCACCCAGAGTCTGTTGAGCATTGGAACACACCAAGGAAGTGATCCCTGCCCCATGACTGCAAGAGTTCAAGAAGCATTTTCACAGTGTTCTCAGGCACATATTAGACTTTTTGGGGCTTTTGTGTGCAGGGACAGTAGTTGGACTTCGATATTTTATGATTTGGTATTTCCTTTTGATTAAAATTGGTTGCTTTATGCTGTGCCTCTGCTGGCATTTATATTGAAATCACAAGCATGTGTGAGAAGGTGCTGTTGTGCTCATGCACTGGGCTTGATGCTGTACCGCAGAGTGCTTGGAATGACATCTTCCACAGTGGAACTCAACTAGTATTGGTGTAAAAAACACAGGCTCATGGTGAGAGATTTCTCCAGGGTCAGGCTGTTCAGGTATAAACAGTTTATTATTTAGGTGGAGGGTGGAAGAGATCTGTTTACACTGCCAGCCACAGCATGACCACAGTGTGGTCAGAGAGGGGGGAGAGAGAGTGGAGAGAGGGGTTGGGGAGCATGAGGGAAGAAGGTAATTAAAGGGGTAGAGAGAGAGGGGCAAGAGGGGGTAAGAGTGAAAGTTAAGAGAGGGGAAGAGAGCAAGTTAAGAGATTAAGAGAGGAGCAGGTAAGAGACTGAAGATCTTGTTACAATACATTATATCTTTTTCTATAGTGAATCTTCTAATTCCTAGTGACCAACCAGTATACCACACACATTCTATAGAATTTACATATAGCCTATAAGAACTACCACGTTACCATACAGCATTACATTTTAAATTCTAAAAGCTACCTTTCAAATTCTTCACTTGCTGCTTGACCTTTGGATCCACTATCAGCAGAAGGGTATTGTTTAATCAACAGGGATTCTCCTTCAGCTGGCTAGGCTATTGTTCTTTGATTATATAGCAACTAGCACTCAGTATCCTATAGCTCAAAGCTATATAGTTTTCAATTCTACTTCGATCCAAGGTTTCATGTTTTCAGAATCTTTTGCTAAACAATCACATTCATAAGGTTTCCCTGTTTCATCTTCCCAAACAGACTAGGTAATGCTCTCTAGGAATGCATCTGAAATATGCTGGCCTCTCACAGGTGCCAGTGGTGTGTAACTGGATTAATTATGATTGGAAATGAAGCTCACTGAGTACTGGTGGAAATAGTTCTGCTTTGCATGTCCTCTCCATTTCTAATGCAGTTGTAGCTGCAGAAGTGATGGGAGAACCAGTGCCTTACAGCTGTGACAGCTTGTAGGGATACTCTGTTTCTATAAGGTAGTGTACCTGCCATACTGTAGTCAGAAATGTGAGTGCTAAAAGTGTGTGTATCAAACTCCTTTGGGAATTTCCTTTTGATGGGTTGGTTATTGTAAGGTGGTGCTGGCTCTCCTGTTTCCCAGTGTTACCTGTCTAATAAAGGCACTGGGTACACTGTCTCCATGGTCAGAACCATAGTCACACCCCTGTCCTTGTGCTAAGGCTCCAAATAAGGGACTGAGGATATAAAAAGTGTTTGCAAAGAGAGTTCAGCTTGAAGAGAATGTTTGTTTTGGTTGTTTATTTTTTCATCACTCCTCTTTCTATAGCAGGGGAAATAATTGGTGTGCAGCCATTTGGAGAAGACTTATTAAAGCAATCCATATCTCTTACAGAGTGTTTAGTGACTCCTTTGTATAATTTGGGCATGGTCACATCCACTGTTGCGAATGAAAATTGCAGCCATTTGGAAAAGACTGATTAAAGCAATCCATATCTCTTACATAGCGCTTAGTGACTCCTTTGTTTAATTTGGGCATGGTCACATCCACTGTTGCGAATAAAAATGTGCTGAGCTGAGCAGGGCATGTGTCTGGGACCCAGGCTCCCCAAGCATCCCTTCTGAGCCTCAGGGGCTTTGAGATTGTTTGTTGGTTAAAGGAGCAGTGCAAGAGCAAGGAACAGTTCCCTGCTTTGGGGTAGCTTTGTTCCATCGGGGGTGCCACTCCCATCTGTAAAAAGCTGCCTGTCTGGATTTTCCAGGGGTATGTCCTTCAGGTCTGTTTGGCTAGAATAAACCTCTTCAATAGTCTGTAAACAGTCGTGTTCAGGCTCATTGTCAATTAAGGTGGAGGACAGAAACTTGGCAGGGTTAACAGCAGAGGTTGTTTTCAGGGTAACATCATCCTGCTCTAATAACAGTGCTTGATAGTTTAACATCTGGTTACCAGATAACCAATGTTCCCCCTTTTGTTCCAGCACAGCTGCTACTGCAGCTGCAGAGGTACATATACTACATCGCCCAAGGGTGAGCTTTCAGGTTTCCTGGATCAAGATGAGAGTGGCTACCACATCCGTCAGGCACCCTGGCCAGCCTTGGGCAACATTGTCTACCTGTTTAGAAAAGTAGGCCACAGCCCTCTGTTGCTTCCTGGGGCACTGTGCTATTACCTCCAAAGCCACATTCAGTCTCTCTTATGTAAAAAGATCAAAAGGTTTACTGGCAGATCATTACTCTCTCAGCTGCTTTTAATGCTCCATATAGGGGTTTTACCAGCAGTCCATAATTTGCTATCCACAAATGGCACCAACCTACCATTCCCAGGAAAGCTTGCATCACTACAGTATGGGGCTATCTGACAGATAGCTTCTTTCTGTTCTTTGCTGAGCTGTCAGTGTCCATGGAAGATCTCAAGCCTCAAGTAAACTACTGACTTATTACCAATTTGTGCCTTGTCTTTAGAAACTCTGTATCCACTCAGTCCCAAGAAGCTTAATAAACTTACCTTAAGTCGTATACAGTCATCTCTGGTTCCAGCCACAATCAGAATGTCAGCCACATGTTGAAGAATAACTCCTTCTGGCTCCTATCTTTTCCGGTCCTCTAGTTCCTTTGCTAGATGGTTTCCAAATACTGTTGGGCTGTTCTTGAAACCTTGGGGTAAAACTGTCCAAGTAAGCTGACTTTTTTTCCCTGTCTTGGGATTTTCCCACTAAAAAGCAAAAAGCTCTTGTCTGTTTTTGTGCACAGGAATGCAGAAAAAGGCACTCTTCAGGTCTACAGCAGTAAACCACCCTAATTCGTCTGTCAGTGTCAAAAGGGTGTAGGGATTGGCTACCTCTGGGTGTATGTCCTCTGTAATTTTGTTAATTGCTCTTAAATCTTGCACTAATCAATAACTCTTACCATCTGCTTTCTTAACAGCTGAAATTGGGGTGTTGAATTTGGACTCACATTGCACTAATAAACCATGTTGAAGGAATTTTTCAATTACAGATACCAGTCCCTTACAGTTCTCTAATCTGAATGGGTATTGTTTTTGCCTTATGGGTGTAACTCCTTGTTTGAGTGTAATATTCACTGGTTCTCCTTGTTTGGATCTTCCTGCAATATCACTAGCCTATACCATTGGATTTACCACATTCTCAACTTCAGTGGGGATTTCACCACATTTTTCCTGTATAAANCTGAAAATGTATTTCTGAATTAATATTTTATACACCTCATACAAAAGAAAAACAAGGTGAGCACAACCTTTTTAAGACTTTGAAAGATTTTAAGAACTCAACAGAAGGGATGTATTAACTCCTTGTGTCCCTTGTTTTTTCTGTTTAGTACTCATAGATAACAATTTCTGTGGCACATTAAGTCTAAGAGTATTTTAGCAGAGGTAAATTCTGTAGTTCTCACCTGGAAGGATTATGTGAGCAGTACTTTAACTATAAAAAATGCCCCACGTACAGACAAGCACACACCAAGTAAAGATCTGAGGACAGAGCATGGGTACAAATTTCCTTTCATTTGGTGCCAGCCTATTTGCTTTTCAATTTTCCTCTTAAAAAACACAGCCAAAGAAAAAGAGCAACCAAAATCAAACCTTTTAGCTTTTCCACAGGAGGTTCTACAGCTTTAAGTTTTTTATAGTTCTGGTTAAACCACTAGAGAACTCATTATAAGCCAGTATATGCTGTAAATAGGTATATCAAAATAATTACACTGTTCAAAAACATAAGTTAAATTTGAACACATCAATAAAAAGGGTAACTTTTTCTTTACAAAAGAATGCAGAGGTCTATTTTAAAAAATCCCATAAAATTAAAAAAAAAGGGGTGTTTGATTCAAAGTTTGTTACTATAACAGATGTCAAATGACACTACATATAAACAAATATATTTATAAGCTTTAAATTAAAACCACATGAGTTATTACAAGTTTCCAGCTGTTAATTGACTCTTACTGAACTGTTTTAATATTATGACTTATTTTTTAGTTAGGGAAACAAAAAATCAAAGTAAATCTTTTTATGATCATTGTAGTTTGAGGCTATAGTAACTGAACACGTTTGCTATTTTTTATGGGTTTTTTACCCCAAATCTAAATATTTTCCACAGATAAAGACATGACCACTGCCTTAAAAATCTTTCCTGGTGTTAAAAGCATATTTCATGCTTTTATGTGGTCAAGCCACTTTACACCATCCAGGCATGCTGTAGTTTCCTTATATTAGAGTTCTTTGAAAATACACAATAATCTCTAATTTCTTTTCCAAGGGAACCCTCAGAAACACTCTGGGATACTCTTGAAATGTGTAGTGGTTTAAGTTCACCAATTTCAGTTTCCCAGATGCAGATAGGTTCTCTGATAGTCCAGGCAAGGTGTTCAATTGCTTAACGCCCTCTGTCTCTACAGCCACTAACACAAAATGTAAATGTGTAACATTTAGGAGATGACCTTATCTGTAAAACTTAAAAGCCCACTCAGTTGTGGACAATTATGTTTTTTCTGTAAAAACCTTATTCATACATGGGACTTTTTAAAAATCATATTGTGTTGGATTGGCATTTAGGGAAAACAAAGAAAAACACCTAAGGAAGTTTAGGCTGCTAAAGGCTGATGGGAGTTTTTTCTCCTGGCCAATAACTGGCCATTTCTGAGAACTGACAGTAGTTTTGACCATTGAAAAGTGAGACCAACCTGTGAACACCACCTTAAGACCTAAGCCCAGGAATTTCTTTGTCTCTCTTTGTTTCTGGCTGTGAAAGGTAGCAGAACTCCAGCTGGCTCTCGTCCCCTGCCCAGGCCATGCAGCCCCAGCAGGGGCTGGGCTGGGCCGGCCGCGGTCCCCGGGCAGGAGATGGGGCCTGGGGGGCTCTTTCCTTAGCCCAGGCCGGGCTGGGCTCTGCTGCAGCTTCCTGGGAAGTTTCCAGGGTGGCTGAAACTTTTCTTGAGACTCCCCAGCACCATGAACACCTGTGGCTTGAGCGAGATTTTAACATTTTACTACCCAGATGAGATTTGCAGATTTAGTCCTTTTTCCAGGAAGAAGGCAAGAGAGAGTGATCAGCAGGTAAAGAGACAACATAAACTATCAAAAACAGTGAAGAAAGGAATTAAGCTTCAGAAGGGAGAGAGAAATAAGGAGATGCTTTAATAAGCTGAAATATTTTTCTGTTAAAGCTATGGAGATGGACAATAGTGTTCTGAAAAAACTCCTTTAATTCATGACAGAGTATTTTGGGGGAAATGGAGTATTTCAAAATATGGATTTAAGCAAATGGTGAAGTAGTTGTGATCCTATGAGATGCTGGAACAGAAAAAGAGAAGTGATAGTTGTTGAAGATTTGTGGCCCTTAAGAGACAAAGAGAAAACTTCTGTTTCCAGAGATGCTCACAGAGACAGATGAAGAGAACTTTTGCCTTTGAATAATCCTTAATTATTCCTTGAATCCTTGAATAATTGCCATCCTTAAAATGACACCAATAGACTCATGACCCATACACACCTCAGAGTGATGTGAAATGGGAGGAGAGAACTGATGGCAGAATTTTTGGGCAGCTGGCATCAGAGAAATAGAAAGCCATGAGAAAAATGGTTTTCTTGTGACAAACTCCATAGATTGGCAGAAGAGAACTTCTTCTCTACAAGGACTGATGAGAAGACTATAGCAAAATTGGGACTGTTTTAACCACCAGGATTTTTTTTTTTGTCTCTATGTTGTCATGTGAACAAGGGAATGCTTGGGTAGTGGGGAAAAAGTGTTTCTGGAGATTTTATTCTGGTTTCTTATTCTTGTAGTTTTGTTAATAAACTTTATTCCTTTTAAGTTTTAAGCCTGTTTTGCTCTTTTTCTAATCCATATCTCACAGCAAGAAATAAGTTTTTCTAGTGATTTTTTAGCAAATGCTTTAAAAGCACAACATTTATTTGGTGTGTTGGTCAGGAAATGAAATTGGCAAATCTAAACTACTATAACCTATTAGCCACATATTTCTGTCAGGTTTGGCCATACTTTTATGAAGTGAGGCACTTGTTTTGAACAGAGTTATGGCTTTGAGAGATATATCCCCCCTCTGTCCTGGAACTGATACCAGTTCTGAATGAGGTCATGCCTCAAATCAGTGGTGATCGGTCTGCCAGCAGGTTTGATAGGTCAGTGGACTATTTCTAATAATTGCCAAAGTAAGTGAGAAAAAACGACCAGCTTGCATAAGCCTAGCCTTTCTGGGCTAGGATGTACATTTTGTACACCTATTTTTAGAGCCTCTTGGAACATGAATTGGAAGCAGTCATGCTGAGCCTTGTTTGGCAGTGGGACATGTTCTACTATCAGTTGATAAACTCTAGTGAAAAGGCCTGTTAAACCTTGAAAGGGGAAAGTATCACAGTGAAGCCTTGAAGGGGAAGATAGCACAGTGAGCATAGAGGATAGAATAGGTTGGTGTTAGGGTGTTGGGAGGATTGGTACAGCACTTTGGTTTCAAGAAACTATTGCAGCCTTACCTGTGTTGAGCTTTGGGCAACCTAATGTAAGGAATATCTAAAGCTGTTGGAGACAATCCAAAGGAGGGCTGTGAAGATGGTGAAGTGTAACATGCTGGGCCTGGATGGTCTGGCCAGGTGTTACCTCAGAGACTCTCAGCATGTGGTCTGCTTAAAGGTAGCTAATAAATGAGGGACAGGCACAATCTAGTGATCCAAAAGGAAAAAACTTCTAATAACAAAACAAACATGTAATCCAAACGACAGTATAGGGTGCAGCAAAAAGGCCAGTGTCCAGGATGTGACAATAACTTATATAAGGTAGGTTAGTGGCAGAGTCAAAGGTAAAGAGACCAATAACAAATAGGGATTAGCAATATGTAAAATACCGTGACAGATATTAACCAATAGTAACAGAGAAACTATAGAACTTTCCAGCAGCATTAACATACCACTTTCCAGGGTGAATTGTGGGTAAGCTTTTGCTCACCCTAACTTGAGAAGGTTCTTCACAGGGCCTGGGGTAAAGTCCCTTGCTGCCCTTTTGCCCTGATGGACTCCAACAGTGAAGGGCCTGGAGAGAAAATCACATGAGGAACAGCTGAGGGGTCTGTTCAGCCTGGAGAAGAACAGACTGAGCAGAGGCCTCACTGCAGTCGACAGCTTCTTCTGGAGGGGAAGACCACTTCTTTATGGTAACCAGTGGCAGGACCTGAGGGAACAGCTGGAGCTTCAAGGGAAATTTAGGTGGGATATTAAGAAAAGGTTTTTCACCCAGAGTCTGTTGAGCATTGGAACACACCAAGGAAGTGATCCCTGCCCCATGACTGCAAGAGTTCAAGAAGCATTTTCACAGTGTTCTCAGGCACATATTAGACTTTTTGGGGCTTTTGTGTGCAGGGACAGTAGTTGGACTTCGATATTTTATGATTTGGTATTTCCTTTTGATTAAAATTGGTTGCTTTATGCTGTGCCTCTGCTGGCATTTATATTGAAATCACAAGCATGTGTGAGAAGGTGCTGTTGTGCTCATGCACTGGGCTTGATGCTGTACCGCAGAGTGCTTGGAATGACATCTTCCACAGTGGAACTCAACTAGTATTGGTGTAAAAAACACAGGCTCATGGTGAGAGATTTCTCCAGGGTCAGGCTGTTCAGGTATAAACAGTTTATTATTTAGGTGGAGGGTGGAAGAGATCTGTTTACACTGCCAGCCACAGCATGACCACAGTGTGGTCAGAGAGGGGGGAGAGAGAGTGGAGAGAGGGGTTGGG